ACGGCGACGATTGAACGGCAACGGAAAACGGATTCCCTCCGTTCTGGTAATGCCTCTCGTGATACGGCGATAGAGTTCTCCGGATCGACGCCATCGTTAATGGAAACAAATAGGCGAGTCAATATAAAGGGAGACAATCAACCGAGTTACATAATTTCCAAAAACATACGAATGAAATTCACAGGAACTGAATGGATAGTCAACAGGATGCCAAACACAATGAACTCACACAGCAAGCAGAGCGGAGCAGAGGAATCCGATACAGAGCACCGATTCTCAGCTTAAAGCAGTTCAATGCACCAAAGCATCAAACTTGTCCCGACTTCCGATCAAATCTCTTCCCCACTCTCCCGGAGTGCATGCGTATCTATCAGTGTATCTATAGGTATATCTCTCTGCGCAGAATTCAGCATATTTGGTATGAAATTCACCTGAAATTAAACTCCGAAAATGTTAACTGCATTAATAATCACTCCGTATATACATACGCTATAATGAATTAATAATTCCTTAGTTTGGGAATGATTTCGAGATCTTTACACGGAAAGGCAAATCATAGTCAAGTCAGATCAGACTTTCTTAATTATAAATATTCCAGTTTAAGATTTTAGGAAAATTACTACTACGTATTAGTGTATTATCCTTTCAAGTTACGTCTATGAATATTAATTAATTACCCTCCTGATCATTCTTATTGTTTATCCCCTCTCACCCTCTGTTTTTTTTTTGATCGCTTGTTTATCCTCTCCGTTAGTATTTGCTAATTTAAATTTCTTCTCTCTCAAATTAAATAAAAATTGTCTACAAAATTTACTACTAAAAGTAAAACACAATTATCATCATCATAATTATAAGTCATAGTTTTTGATCGTTATTTTTTTTACTTAGATACACATAGAACAAATATTAATGAAAGTTGTTAAGAGAGAAGACTTACGATTAATAATCATGAAATACATTAAAGCACGTTGATCACAACATGCGTCATTAAAGTTCTAGGCGTTTCTTCATAACAAATATAAATTTAATTTTATAATTCATTCATCTCAATATAGTAACAAAGAAGAAATACCAAGAAACTAATATGGCAAAAACGTATATTGAAAGCTTTCATTTTATTTAACAATGCATGAAGTTAAATATAATTAAAGTTCCCGGAGGGGGTAAATAATGTGAATAATCAAAACTCAAGAGGTAAATAATTTATTTATTAAAATGTAAGGTTGAATTAGTGAATTTGACCTAACCTCAAGGGTTAATAGTAATTATAATATAATTATCCTTTCATTTTTGCTAAAAGTTCTCATTTCTATTTTAGAAAATAATTAACGCTCTTACGTCTTAAATGATAGTTTAATTATTAAATTTTAAAAAATAGTACATCTAAAACATCACACTCATCAATAATGATCTCATTATTTTATATATCCACGAAAATTATTTCTTAAAACATACTTGAATCACTTTATTTAATTATTTTCTCAAAATTGTATTATTTGCTATGGGAACCTTAGGTCGAGACAGAAGTAGTACCAAATATTAATTTATTACTAGACTAGATTAAATCCGACCATATTTAAATATATTAGACCACACTATAGTATAATAGTTCAATTACAAACATCCTAAATGACCAAAAGAATACTAATAGGGTGTGGGCCCCTTAGTTTTTATATGGATTTCTTTTAAGACAATTATTACTAACTACAATTCTACAAAGCATAAGAATACAATATTACAATTTGATTTGACTTGACTTTGTAATAACTTCTTTAAAACATAGTCCGTGTTAAGATTTTATTGAATTTGAGACTATACAATTTAATTCTGACCAAGTTTTATATAGTGTTATCTCGTAATAGTTAAAAGATTTTCTCAGTTCCTGATCAGACAGAAAATTTCATCCAAAATTGAGGAAAACTTTTTGAGGCAACTAAAGACCTTATGCATCTCAAGACTATCGCTTACAATAATAATAATCCAAAACCAAGGTAAAAAGTCGAACGATAAGAAAATAAAGCTTGAAGATAAAAATAGAGCAAGAAATCGCACTTGACCAAACTCTAGTCACACGTTCATTCCATGGCGGTGGTTCAGGAGGGGGGTGAACCATCAAAACTATATGTTCTTCCTCCAAGACCAAATAATCATAGATCTAGTCTAAAATAGAAAACTTGCCTTGCTCCTTGAGTGTGTTGTTCTCTACCCCACATTCATCATTCTTGCCAACAAATCTAGCCCCTGCTGCTTCATCTGAAAACTGAGTCTTCCTCCTCTATGCCACAGACAAACTCGCCACCTCAAAAACCCTAGCACTCGTCTGAAACAAAAAATAGAACGCAAGAGAACCTTCGCCGAAAAAACCAACCCTAGAAAACCCTAGGGAGCCGTTTACTTTTCTTTGGCTTATCAACTATTTTAGTTATAAGGATTTTAATTTCAAACAACTTATATGACTTAAATAATTACGACTAAAATATATGTGATTTAAAAAATTTGACCTCTTAAGTGTATTGACTATTGACCTCCAATGCTACAATGTGCACGATGCACATGTGACATGAGAGATAGTCACATTAATATTAGCAATTAAATTGTCTCTCTTCTCATTTGAATGATTTTATACAATTTTGGTAGGTTTTTCTACACAATGTCAAGAAGACCGTGTAGATGTTGACCTTGTAGATAAAAACATACCAAACTTGTAAAAAATCATTCAAATAAGGAGAAAGATAATTTAGTTACTAATATTTATGTGACTCTCTCTTATGCCACATGTGCACCGTGCACATTGTAGCATTGGACATGATCTCAAATGTATTTGACTATTGTACTAATTTTAATTATAGTAACTTTTTTTTGAACTCTGATATAGCCCGGCCACATTCATCATCATAGTTATCTTTTTAGCTAGGGAAAAGGGTCAAATAGACCCTCCTCAAACTAACTTAAAAAGTGCAAATCACCCCTTATATAAGAGGCTCTGTCAGGCCATCGCCATTTGGGGAGGTTCCCGATGGAATTTTTTGATGATTTTTTTTGAGCATATTCTTCATTAAGTCTAGTTTATTCATACCAAATTTCAGATAAAAAATCAATCGGGAAGACAATCAAATGATTTTCTGAAATATACTGCGTTGTTTAACTGCGCAGTTATCCCAATTAAGTGATTTGGATCGTTAATGTTTGTTAATAACATTAAAATAGCCTAATTAGCCCAATTCGAAATAGGTTTTTGAATGGTATTGAGTTAGGACCTCCAGGAGAGTTTTATTAGCTATAAAACTCCTTTCCTCATCTTACAAATAGGGTTAGGGAGACCCACGAATTTCAAGAGTTAAAATTCACATCGTAAAACCTAGAGAGAGAGAGAGAGAGAGAGAGAGAGAGAGAGAGAGAAAGAAAGAAAGAAGAGAACGCTAGCACGTTCCATGAGGCTGATCCAGTCATGTGTGTGTGGATACCGGTAGAGTTCGGGATCGTTTTCTCGGACTATCTGACATCCTTACTTAAAATTGCTATGTAAGTCCCTCTTACATCTTGTAATTTCGTTTATAATAAGAACCTCAGAACTGGTTGTTTACTTTTGGGCAGTATTTGTTTTGTTTATTCCGCTGCGTTTTTTTACCCAAAACCCAACATGATGTTCATCCTCCAATTAAGGGGTGAACAAAATAGCACTCAATTTTTACATTTAATCGATCATAACACTATACTATAATACCTTTTAATCATATTTTTGTGAATAAGTATTGTTTTAGTTGTATTTTTGAAAAATCCTCTAAATAAAAAAAAACAATCTGACATGATAAAAGAATAATACAATGTTTTAGAAGGAAAATCGTGATCATTTGAAAGATACACATACAAAATAACATACGTAGTATAAATATTGGCGGTCTAAACAGTTACTCCATCCGTCTCATTTCAATGTTTCAATTTTTTCTTTTTTTGACGTCCCACTTAAAGGTTCTCACTTTTGATTTTAGGAAACAATTAAAACTCTTAAATGACAATTTAATCATCAAATACAAATACTAAAAAATACATTTATAAAATCACAGTTATTATCAATAACTCATTATATTATATACTCATTAAAATTATTTCTCAAAATATACTCGAATTAGCATATTTAATTATTGTCTAAATAATCGTGTCATTTTACCAGATGAATCTTTAAATGGGACGGTGGGAGTATAATTTATTGGAATGTATAATGTGCGTTTTTTATGCTTGTATAGCCTTGTTAATGATTTTGTATGAAAATCAATCACTTCAGTTTGTTGGAATGTTTTTCTTTATTATTAAGGTTGACCATATTGACCTTTTGAGTCTGGTTAGACTTAGATCGGTCGCAATATCAGTGAGAAAAAATATCAAATACTCCATCGATTTATATGAAAATTTGGCATTCAGTCATTTAATTTAGTTTTAAGTCTACATACACCCATGTGCCTCTGGTTTTGAACCAAACTGAACCGCCTCTCCCCAGTTCCTGTTCTCTTTGACTATGTTCCAGTTTTTACATATGTTAAAGTTAAGAAACTGCCTGAAATAGAAGTAATATATTGTGTGTGAACAAATCAGTTACTGTTATGTAATTATGTAGATGTCCATTGTACTATGTGATTCGTATGTATTGTAAGGGTCCGATCCGTATTACATGTAGCCTTACCCCTCTTTCCCCTTATATATATATATCTCATACTCCTTCCGTCCCACAATGAACTTCACAGTTTGACCAACACACGTATTAAGGAAATAAACGAAGTAAATTTTACTGTTTTGACACTGTTTAGACACTGTTTGGCACTGTTTCGGCATTGTTTGACACTGTTTTGCACCGTTTGACATTGTTTTGATGTAGAATAACTTGTTATTCAAGGAAATGAGAACTTGTTTCTGGGACATCCAGAAAAGGAAAGTGGGAAGTTCATTACGGGACGGAGGAGGGAGTATATGTTAATGAAAGAGAGATAGAATTCTTATTCTTAACACGTTATCATTTGAAAGAGAGATGAAACCTAGGATAACGATCAAGATCTTCCTATTCCAATCTTCCTATCCATATCTTCAAGAAAACTGGCGAGTGAGAAACACTGTGACGGCCGGGAGTTGCGGCAATCACGAACGGATCTGTCTTCTACGTTGCCCCATCACGATCAACGAATCCCACTGTCGTGTCTTGAATACAAATTTCCAGGTATTTCAATATACACAACCGTCTATTATTGTGATAATATAAAGTTGATCTCCATATTACGCATATCCATAAATGATGAACTCGCTGAACTCCTTGTTTGCTAAGAACTGTCATTTCTTAAAAAAAATGATGAAATCAGTTCACAATTATTCTAGCTTTTGCTCTATGATTGAAATTCATTTTCAAAGAAAAAAAATCGGTACGAATTAAATTCAAAGTTTTAGTGAAATTTTAATCTGTTAATCATATTGATATGTTAATGATCAATGTTCACATGTTTGCTTCCCCAAATTACTAAATAGAACATCGTATCAGATCAATCATTCTTTTCTCTCCCAGAGCTATATTCTCTTAGGATGAGATTATGAAAAGTTTGATCTATTGGTCTGACTACTTACATATATGTGATTATTAATATATGCTTCTTGTGAAACAATATGATAAAATGGATCATTTGAATGGTAATCTGGAATAGTTCATACAAACCATATATGCACAAACTTTGAGTCTTTATATTTTTTTTCTATTTTTGCTCCAGTTGTGAAGAAAAAAAAAAATTGCGCGCGCGCCCATATATATATATATATATATATATATATATATATATATATATATATATATATATATATATATATATGAAATATTAAAGAATAGCTTAAAAGATATCATAGATTTACACATGCTTACATCTTAATAATGATTTTATAATTTCTGGTTTATAAAATAAAAGGGACCATCTTTGAGCAAGAACCGTTAGCATTATCTATTTATATATAAGAAAAGAAATAACTCATTAAAAGACACTTTTACCCTTCATTAATCCAACGTGTATATCTCTCCATAATTTTCTCTTTAACTATAACAATGACACGTGGAGACTCTTTTACTTCAAAGCTACGAACAAAGGAAAGGAAGAGCAACCAAGGGAGATAGAGTTTGGTGGGGCCCAAGTTATACAAAAATCTCATATTTTTTTAAAGTGTTATAACTTTTTCATTTTTGCTCCAATGTTCACAAAAAATATATCAAAATTCATATTTTTTGTGATCTTTCATATGAGATCAATATTGAATATATAAATATATAATTTAACAACGGTCTCAATAACTATGCTTAAAATTATTTATATTTATTTATACTCGCTCTTTTCCCTAAAAACTTGGTCAAAATTAACTCGCACGAACAATAATAAAATAAAAATTGTATAGTTGATATTTTTGTAGATAAGTGAGAAATAATGTTAACCACATATTTCTTACTTTAAGTGGAAATGATAATGTATTTTGTGATGACCGAAAATTGAAAGTTTACAATGTTTTATGAGGTGAAGGTAGTATAACAAAGTAGTAGGTTATTAAAATACTGTTTTGCTCCAATTATTATGCAACATGTCTATCAATCGGTGTTAGAGAGCATTGCTCTACTTATTGTCTTTATAAAAATACGAATTACAGAAATATAGAATATAAAACTTTGGCTTACTAAGGGAGTGTTTGCAAGAGATTAAAATGTACTTTTCAGCCTGTGGCTTAAAAAATTGAAATAAATGTTTTCAAGTACTACGTAATACTCAACAACAACCTCACATTTCCACTTTATTCTCACTTTCTTAGAGCCCATTTGGTAATACCAAAATTGACTGAATCGATTGATTATGCTGAAATTTATGAACATCTGGTAGAAGGGGCCGGAGTGGTTGATTCTTCATATTCATGAAATTGAAGAAAAATTTATATAAAATAGCTAAAATGGTGTTCTACAGTAAATTCAATAAAGTATCAGAAAATTAACTCTAACATTACTTTTTCTTATTGTTACACAATGCAGTGCATGAAATAAAAAAATACATGTTTGATGAAAAAATGGTTGATAAACCTGTTAAGCCAAAAAATAGGATTACTAAAAACATGTTTTATGGGACGGAGAGAGTATTACTATTATTATTGCCGATGAATCAAATCACCTTTAACAGTAAAGAGATTGAGAATCTTAAAACTTACATTCATTCTTTCCTTTTCGGTCTGTCCCAAATTTATCTCCTCTTTCCCTTTTTAGCAAAGAATTTGTGGTTCACAATCATTTTTACACATTCTTACACATTTCTCTTTCCTCTGCACAACTCTCCACCACACATTTCCCACTATCTTAATATGTGTGTCAATTGTACTTGTGAAGATAATATGGGACGGAGGGAGTAACTTTTTTACTTTTACTCTAATTTTTATAAAAAATACAACAAAATTCATAATTATTGTGATCTTTCATATGATACCAATATTGAATATATAAAAATTTAAATTATTGAACAACCTCTATAGATATTTATATATACCAAAGGAGTACACTATTAAAAATACCATCTTACCCCAATTTTTATGCAACATGTCTACCTACCAATTTTAGTGAGCATTGCTCTACTCATGTAGTGCTTTTGAGTATAAGATAAGATAAGTCGGCTAAAAATTGAGCGCCATAATTATTTCTCTCACATGTAATGCTTTTAAATATAAAATAAGCCGGCTAGCAATTAAGTGATATAATTTCTATCTCATATGTAATGTTTTTAGATATAAGACTTTAGGTATATAAGAAGATTTATGTCGTTATTAAGGAGGCTAACAATTAAGCGAGAGAATTTTCTCTGCTATTAGGTATCATATAATCCATCTAACAATTAAGCGGAAGGGTTTTCTCTCTCATATATAGTTCTTTTAGATATTTGAAGATAAGCGTGCTAACAATTGAACGCAAGATTTTTTCTCTTATGTAGTTTTTAAAGTACTACCTCCGTCCCTTAAAACTTTGCCAAAGTTGACCGGCACGGAGAATAAAAAAGTAAAAACTATGTGATTGAGGTTTGTGCAGAGGAGAGAGAAATAACAGAAACCATAAAATAATTGATTAAAAGAGAAAGTGACAAATTTTGTTGAGACGTCCCAAAAAGGAAAAATGACAAAGTTTTAAGGGACGGAGGGAGTATAACATAAGTCGGCTAACAAGTGAGGAGAAGTGTTTTCTCTCTCATATGTAGTGCTTTTAGATATAATAATAATAAGGTAAGCCGGCTAAGAATATAGACCGAGAGAACTTTCTCTCTCATATGTAGTATTTTTAGGTATAAGAAGATAAATTTGATAATAATTGACCCGAGAATTTCGCTCTCATATATGTATTATGTAGTGCTTCGGCGTATTAGAAGATAAGTTTGCAATAATTGAGCAAGGGAATTGGATGGGAGATTTTCTAGATATAACAAGATAAGTTTGTTAATAATTAAGCGAAAAAGATTTATCTATCATATGTAATCTCTTATGTATTAGAAGATAAACTTGCTAACAATTGAGATGAGAAATTATCTTATAAGTAGTTCTTTTAAGTCTAAGATAAGCCGGTTAACAATTAAGCAGTAAAGTTTTGTCTCTCATACGTAATGCTTTTAGGTATAAGTTAATCTGGCTAACAATTGAGTGAAATATTTTCTCTCATATGTAGTTTTTTGTATAAGATTCACCGAGTAAGAATTGAACATAATAATTTCCTTTCTCAAATGCTAACACTAATTTACCTAATGATTAGCAAGTTATTATTTAACTAATACGTAATATTCATTAATTTCAATCATTATCGTATTCATTAATTTAAAGTTAATTTAATAATAAAAATTAATTAGTACAAATTCTAATAAGTGGCGTTAATTAGTTTCCTATATACTCTTCATTGAATATTTAGTGTATGGGCTTATTCTTTACAATATTAGCTTATTTTATTCTTATTTTCCGAAAATGTAGAATCCTATAAAGTTATTTTTATTTTAATATTTAATTATATAATAAATAAAAATATATGCAACTACTATTTTTTCACGTGCGTATGCACGGGTACTATACTAGTTTATGCAAATAAACTATTTTTTTTTTATTAAAATGGGGAAGTTAATGTCATTTATTAACAAATTTAGGTTACATTGGGACATGTATTTATGCAATTAATGACATTAATAAAATTTAGATAAAATATAATACCAATAAACAGATTTGAAATTTAATAATGGTTCTCCATTTGTGATTGTTATTATAATTACTTTTTATTATCAATTTCTATTTATGACATATTATTTAAGAAATGAGTTTTGGTTCCACCAACGTACCAAGTAGTAACTGCGTTATTCCTGAATCACCGAAAGTTAGTATTAATTTTATATTTATTCACTCACTAACTAAAAACGATAGTAGCTATGAACGGAATGTCCCATCCAACTTCACATATACTCATATTCAACGCATATTTACTCTTGTGATTACATCATTTTAGAAATATCAACTTTGCTACTTCTAATTAGACATTCTAATTAAACATTTATGTTGAGTGTTGAAGTTTAGTATGAATGATATTTAATCATATGAGATTTAAATGGTTTCAGTACTCTTACTAATTTATCCCAAATCGTAATTTCAAAAAATTTATATATCATGATTTGTTCGATACATATTTGATATTATCACAATTTGAATCTTATACTCTGTATGAGATATCAATTAAGTCGCACTCTCGTATTAGCATTTTCTAAAGTTAAGTTGTTTTTGGAATTTCTTGTTTAATGTGCCCTTAGTAGCATTTCGTTACCTTGATCATGTAGCGATTGAATTTTTTTTCAGTTTGTTAAATCAACTCATTACTTTTATAATGCTTATTTGTATTAATATATATCAACTCATGCTACTTTGAGCTAGTGTAAGTGTAACACCGCCCCCAAGTGTTTATACTTTATCAAATTATGTATTGAATCCTGAGAAATGAGTAAACGCATTTTACGTGATTGTAAATTTTTATCATTTCTTTTACGTGAATAGTAAAATTCACGTGGGGCCCACACCGGGAGTGGGGGCCGCCCGATATTATCGGGACCACATATTATATTGATCTGGGACTAGAAAATATGTATATGGTGGTGGATATCCTAATTGAGCCGTGGCAAAGGTATAGGATTGACTGGTTGGTCAAACGAGGCCCAATTATCAGTATCAGCAATTTATCAGATAACAACCCGAAAAGGAATTTCGGAGACTTCTAAATTAAAGTTGGGAAACGTATATTCATTCTAAGGTCCAATAAGGATTGAGAACATGTGTTATATTTTATTTGACCCGATAAAATAAAATATAACTAAAACAGTCCGGAAAATACAACTTGCGGGACCGATTATACACTTCGGGACAAGAAGGGATGACCTCTCACATGAATGGGGGCCAACCCACGAGAATACCTTGTCAATGTGAGCTGGGAGGCGTGGGAGTGGGTGTGTGGTGTGAGGGAGTTGATTTGAGATGATTGGCATCAAAACAAAACATGTGGGGGGGGGGGGGGGGGCTCCTTCCCATCACTCATTGCTCAAATGAGCCAAAAAGGGTATTCCTACCCATCCCCCCTCTCACTAGCTCGGACAAGACCAAGGAAAAGAAGAAAGGAAGCTCTGCAACTCCATTCTCCCATAGCCAAATTCGAGCTAAGCCCAAGGAGGTCAAGGTTAGAAATTTAAAGAAAAGAAGGAAAAAGTGTGGTGGTTAAGGTAATGACCTTATTTTAACTCTTCCTCTACTCCTTAACTACCATATGACTTATATGTTATATGGAGGAACCCTAGAATTGTTCTACATGTTTAGAGGTGTAGAACGAGGGGTTGGAAGGTAGTTCTAGGTCCAAGGACGGACTTAGAAGCCAAAGTAACCGGTTCGCCGGAAAATAACCTTTTGGAGGTTATTTGTATTAATATGGGTTTTATGATGATAAAACCTTGTTAGTAACTTGTCTAAGGTATTCAAGGATCTTTCACGGAGTTGAAAGGGTCGCCGGAATTGTCGCCGAAGTTCGTTGAAGTTCGCCGGAGTTTCATCGGAGCTTAATAAGGGAGACTAGAACTTCATAAGCTTCATTTAAGGTGAGAAGACGGCTTTATGCTTTATAACTTTTGCGTGAGGCATGAGATTACCTAAATTAATCAAGTATATGCTTTGTGAATTGATTAATGATATTAAAGTATGTGCTATGTCATGTTAGAGAATATAACATAGTTGAAAAGCATGATTTATAGGTTTGATTAGTGAAATCATTATAAATTGATATGTATGATGTTCCAAGGACCCAAACAGGTATATTTGGATTAAGGACATCAAGGAGTACTTGCATGTAAAATTTCACGTTAATCGGGCTTCGTTTGGGCGGTCAAACGAGCGTTGACTGCCAAATCAACTGTTGTACCCGCTGGGTTTTGGCAAATACCCGACCGGGTATGTTCTGAAAACTGCCCCAGTGGTCGCTGCCTCCTATACCCGATCGAGTATAGGTAGGTACCCGATCGGGTATGTATTGAAAACATGCCCCCGGGACCGCTGCCTCCTATACCCGACCGGGTATGGGTTGGTACTCGACCGAGTATTGGGTTTTACACCCAAACGGTCAGTTTTGAATGAGTATAACGTGGGGCGTTCGGATGAGAACCGTCCACGTTGATCATTAAGGATTATTATATTACTATAGGGCTAGGTATTGTCCATAGTTAAAGGAATGAAAGGTTAGCCATATCCAGGTTAGGGTTTGGTAAGGAATAAGGTTGAGGTTGAGTATCCCCGGGACGGTAAATGATCCTGAAACTCGGTTGGGTTTGAGTATCCCCGGGACGGTAAATGATCCTGAAACTCGGTTGGGGTTGAGTATCCCGAGGGCGGTAAATGATCTTGAAACTCGGTTGGGGTTGAGCATCTCCGGGACGGTAAACGATCCTGAAACTCGGTAGGATATTATGAATGTAGAACATAGCTTATGACCTAGGTATCCGGGAAAGGAGTGAGATAAGTCAGGTAAGAACTTTATCTCTAAAAGACTCTTTAAGGTAAATGACCTACGGGTTAATTATTTTACGAGTATATATACAATATGTATCATCGGGTGGATGAGAGACATCTATATATATATGTATCACCCTATTTTTGGGTCTCGTGTCTGAAACATTAGTTATTCTTCATATAGCCTGCTTGTCACTAGTACTTCTATGGAGTACTGACCCCTCCAGGGGGGCTCACATTTTTCAGGTTAAGGCTAGAGTCCTATTACCTGCACCTTTGCCTAGGGTGGTTGATCAAGAAGGGAGACGTGGTTCGTGCTTCCATTCTTATTTGAAAGTTATAAACAGCTCATGGATATTTGAACAATGTTTTCCTTAAAAACAGTTGGGGCCTGCGTGCTCATGTTTGCCACGTGTGGCTAAATAACAAACATATAATTTCCGAATTTCTTTGATTATGATATTAATGTTGTTTGTATGTATTTACTAATCGGTTTGGCAATAGAATCTATCGGACGCCTTGTATGATTCAATAAGGATGAACTAATGTTGTTCTTGTCGGGTTGTACGGCGGTTGTCTACGTGGCTCGGATGCGATCCGGGGCATGACAGTAAGCATTAAGAAAAGTGCATTGCAGACTATAGGTACATTCCACATACATCTCTATTTATAATTTGGTCATATTGGAACGTAATATGATTACATATGTACTTATATGATAAACTTGATTGTTAAAAATTAATTGATAAGTTATGTGACTTGTATAGCTTCAATGTTTTATAAACACTCAAATATGTGACATACTTTAAGAAAATCTGTGATTAGCAAACATGATATAGATTTTAACTATATTTGAATCATAGTTAAATATTGATATGGATACGCGAATAATGCCTAGTAAATCAAAAGTTATTGTAATTAAGTAGAATGTTTTTCTCAAATTAATCTAGTTTAGAGGGGGAGAAAGCAAACAAAATTTCATAAATAGATATATGAAATTATAAAAATGCCAGAAATCACTATAAGAGCATAAGTTTAATGTACAAGTTGGTGTGTTGTGAACATGAAGTTCCCACATCGCTTACACATGAAATAGTGTGTGTGTTCATAAGTTTAATGTACAAGTTGGTGTGTTGTCACTACCAAAAAACTTCGTTATAGGCACGGAAATTTGGCTCGAAAAAACGCCCAACCAGGTTTGGCTCGGACTTTGACTCAAAAACGTTGAAGCGCAGTACTATGACGGTTTTGGCTCGGAAAAAACCCAGCCAAAACGGGGATTTTAATTTTCCGAGAAGTATTCTGAGCCAAACCCGAGAAATTAGAAAAGAAGTTGGCCACCGGGGTCTTCCGTCCCAAAATCTGTCACAATTTGCGTCGGAGTTAATTCCGTGCCAAAATCAATAACACATTTATTTTGGTTTGGCTCGGAATATTCCCGGCCAAAAGCTAACCGAGCCAAAATCCTAGCCATTTCTTGAAAAAAATGGACGTTGCGTTTCCGCAACAAGAGCCAAATTCCGTGCCAAATAAGTGGCCGTTGGAAGCATCGATTTTTTTCCGAGCCAAATGTTGAATCAACAAGTAGCCGTTAATAATCCGAGCCAAAATCGAGACAAAATCCGTGCCAAAAACTATCCGTTGCTTCATTTGATATTTTTCCGAGCCAAATGTTGAGTCAACAAGTAGTCGTTATATTTCCGAGCCAAACCGCGTGAAAATCTGTGCCAAAAACTATCCGTTTGCTTCATCTGATGTTTTTCTGAGCCAAATGTTGATTAAAAAACTAGCCGTACGTTATATTTCCGAGCCAAAATCGAGCAAAACGTTGTGCCAAAAAATAGCCGTTATATTTCCGAGCCAAATACCGTGCCAAAATCATCTATATATACACCTAGTATTTGTAAAATCAATTACATCTTACAAAATTATACTTTCATTTCACTCCACACTTTCATTGTATCTTACTCGAAGGCTATTTTCAGTGATGGATTCTCTCGATGGAAGTTGAAAGTTATATTATTGCTATTGGCTATGTGGAGAGTTTGTATTTAATTTGGATTTCTTAAAAATGATATCGCCATTTTATCAAGTATGCAATTTTCTTTATTAGTACTTTTAAATTAATTTCATCCGTATCTTTAATTTATTATTATGTTTGTCTTAATAATATATTGTCCGAGACAAAAACAATCAGAATATATGGACTAAATGGCCGTGCAAAAGCGGAGCCAAAGACCGTGCCAACTTTGGAACGGATTAAAAATTCCGTGCCAAATCATTTGGCTCAAGCTGGGTGGCTGAGAAAATTATTCCGAGCCAAAACCGAGCCAAACCCGTTAGTCTGGGAATATTATGAACGATTCCGAGCCAAATTCCTTGCCTATAGCGAATTTTTGTTGTAGTGTGTGAACATGAAGTTTCCACACCGCTTACACATGAAATAGTGTGTGTGTTTATTAGCGGGGTCTGAAGCCCTTACTTGTGGGCGTGTTTTAAAGCCGTGAGGTCCTGAAGTACCGAAACGGACAATATTTTATTATATGCCAAGGTAAATTTTAAGAAATTCATTCAAGTGAATACTTTGAGACAAGTATTATAGTATTCCTTAACAAATTTGATTATCTGATAACTTGTATATACATTATCTAATCTTTAGACTCTATATACATTTCTAGGTGAGTGATTCGCATTGTTTCTATAAAAGTAAGAAAGAAATCACTATATAAATGATTATTTTAGAGACAAATTCTTTTGTCTTAGGGGTGATATAATGCTTGAAGCATGTATATACTTGTCGCATAGATTCCGAAATATATTAACTTTTGATAGAGTCACACATTAGAGATAAAAAGTAATGGAGCCACAACTTATATTTATAAACAAGTCGTGCACATAAATAATAATGATAAAATCTCAGACATTGAGTGTAAGCTCAAAGAAGCTACTCAAACATTGCAAAGTAATAATTTAAAAAGTGATATCATACTTATTGGATGATAGTTTGAGACCATACTAATGCATTGTAATTTGTGTTTCCATAATATCTGCGTGTAGCAGAATTCTCCTCACACCGTACTATATATACTTGAATAATTTAAACATGTGTTGCATGAAGTTTAAATTTTTGAATAAATGACCAATTTAAGGTTAACCCATGTTTAAACCAAATGTCGTATAAGACATCCAGTATATAAATACTTATTAGATAAGAAAATAACAAAACCGTCTATTCTCCAAAACATTTTAAAAGTGGATCCATGGGAGTTAAGTGAACTTGAAGTTTCACAATGTGGGTTAATATCAAGTTTGGTCTGAAGATATGCTCTCCAAATGTCTACAAATAATGAGTGGTATACGACCATTTTGCCGGCTTCTATGAAATAAAGTGAAGAGCATAAGGTAACCCACAAAATATATCTAGCATCATAAGATGAATGTTACGTCTGAGATAAACTGCTAGAAAGTTGCTTGAATATATGAAGAAAGTCTAGTTTATATTAATTCAGCATTTTTTAACAACTACCCCCAAAGTTTACACGATAAAATGAGTCAAAGTGTACCAACATTGAAACCCCACTACAGAAATGATGTCCTCGGACCCCAGAAGTGGCTCCATATGTACGTAAATCCTTGTTCAAAAATATTATGGCACATTTCCCGACATTAGAGGGAGATATAAAGGCATGAGCATAATTATATTTTGGAATGTCGGGAAAATATCCCAGAAGGATCGATTGATATTAAAAGTGAAACGTGTAAAATATGATAAGTAAACTGCCAAAATGACTGAAAGAAATGATTATAAAGATTGAGCTCAACCAATGCATGAAGCATGGTTAGGCGGTCATTACGTGTATACGAATAAAATTGGTTTTTATATTAGGAAGTCATTTATGCCTCTACAAGAGGATGATATAAGTTAAACGTTGCAGCTGATAAGTTATAGAAACTTTATGATGCAGGACATGAGTTCCTCTTTTATGACTCATATAGAGGACTTTTGATGAAACGGGAATGATATTGATTAGATTGATGTCAATGATTTATTTTACCATAAATGTCGACTCATAATACATGATAATAAAGTCTGGCCATACGAAATATATGGACTTGTAGTCCTAAAATTTTGTGAATTATGATCGATGTTTATGGATGAGAAAATATTTTATATTGGGCCTGAAGTCCCATAAATCAAGATATTGTGTACGTGGGGTGACAATACTTGAGATTGAATAATTTTGAGACTGCACTCCTGTTATAGTTTAAAAGTTCTGTAAATGTGGCGGTTGATGAGAAAATTGGATGTCATTGTTATAATATAATAATATCAATTGTGTCCCTAAAGGACAATAGTGAAAAGAAATATGTGCACACAACATGCAACATGAATATTAATTCTTTTATGTTTATACTAATTAGATAAGGTGATTGTGTGTTAAGTTATGGTAATTATATTTGGAATTATTCTTGAAAAAGAATTTGAATTTGATTGAATAACTGCAACAATAAATAATGCATTAAATACTAAGCATAGCTGAAAACATATAAAATGGACGTTTGTGCCTAACTACAACCTAGGTGACTACAATAAGTCTTGATGAAATAATTTATTTTGTAGAAGAACTATGCTTGAATATCATGGTGCAAATTATATTATGTAATATCCTGATTGAACAAGGTTTTTGCATCATGTCAAAATATCACTTGTAGTGAGTGCCTCCTGAAGAGGATCTAATGTGAACAATTTTCTTATTTGTTTTCACATGATTTAATGACTAGGATTTTAAATATAAAGTGAGCTATATTTGTACTACTTCTCAACCTTTCCTGTAGAAAGAGTTGAATGAAGAAAACATTATGCAATGAATTTGCAATTGCTCATAAACCTTCTATTTGCTTACCTGAAGTAAACATCTATTATTTTATGAACCAAATTGTATAAATAAAGGTGTTGGAAGTTTTTAATTAAGCATCTATTCAAACCTAGAAACAACACATGAGAATCTTTTTATTTGAATGGTGTTTGATTATTTAATAAATAAGATATCTAGTCATTATATTGTGAACACATGAAGTGTTTGTATACTAATTTGAGATCCTAGGAGGATAAAAACATGTCTTATTTAAGTTTTATGGACAAATGTTTGAGAATACTCAATTATTAAATGTTAGATGTGCATATGAGCATTAACACCAAATTTGATAGTCTTGAAATACACATTGCAAAATCATGAGTTTAGACAATTGCTTCTGCTTAGAAACTCTTGAACAATTTGATTACTAATGTCCATCAAATCTGTATAAATAATGATGGAGGTTTTGTATACTAAAGATTTTCATTAGCTAAAATTATATGGAGTTGATTGAGGTGAAACAATTAATTAGTCCACAAGACCAAGTGCTATTCTTTTTTTTCTTAGTCAAGTTTTTTCCCAAAGGGTTTTTCTTGGCCAAAGATTTTAAGGTATTTTGTGGTTTTTAAAGAATGAAAAAGATTCATAACATCCGGAAGACTATTATCCTCTAGAAGAGTGACTCTAATATTAGTTCGAGAGATAGTACCCTGAAGGTCTTCATTGAC